GGCGCGCCCCTGCCCCGGCGGGAGCGCGCGCCCGGACCCTGGAGGTAACCGGGTCCCCGGGCTCCGGGGTCGCGCGCCTTGACTCGACGGCCTGTGTATTCCGAAAGCCCCCTCCTTTTGCCACCTGTGTCATGTGGCTGATGTATACTCAAGACCTTTAAGGAAGAGGGTAATGCTTACAAAAATTCCTGGAGATGAATCCCCAAAGTTAAGGGTTCTCTCTCAGCTAGCTCTGCCCCAAGAGCATTCTCTTTTCCGATTGGGTCCCTGTTGTTGCTTTTAGTTCCTAGCAGGGGTTAGTGGTGAGTGCGCAAATTCAGAATCGCAGTCAGTCTAAGTATTTATTACTCACTTGTAATTGCTCTTTCCTGTAGTAGCATTAAAATAGTCAAAAGTTCTAAGTGGAGAAAAGGGTCACACTGTTTTTGAAATGTACTTATCAGAAGAGTGGCAGAAGAGGAACTAAGTTCGCTGGCTTTTACTTTAAGCCATAAGCTTCTAGGACCTACGCGTGTCTGAACGCCCTGCAAAAGAGTGTGCAGCTCTAAGTTAACACTTCCTTTAGGGGTGGACCTGAAAATGTACTTGATTTTCTCAAGTCCTGGAGAGTTCGTGTATTATGTAGTGAAGTATGTGTAGATGTTTAAAAAGTAAAACGTATCATTTTTTTAAAAGCAGTTAGACATGAGATTTTGTTGTTGCTGTTGCTTAAAAAGGTTTTTAGTTATCGAAAGGTTTTTTTTGTTTGTTTGTTTTTTTAACTTGGAAGGTTTGTTCTCTGCTTTCTATGGTCAAAATACATAGTTGCACCACATTTCAAATTCTGAAGCATGCAAACACGGATCGGCTTGCTTTAACTCTAGTATGCCCATTTTTGGAGGTTTCTGTAGAGTGCTCATTCAGCTGGAAAGGGTTAGCTGAATTACTTTCTAAAATATTAAAACTTTTTTTCCCATTGGCATCATCTTTTTTTTTTTTTTAAGAATTATTTAACTTAATTTATTATTATTCATTTTGACCAGAAAGAAACAGAACAAGAGGGACAGTGAGAAAGCAAGCCACCAGGTCTCGGACTGGAACTGCGGCCAACCATGTGGAAGTCCAGCGCCTTAACCACCATGCCACCTGACAGCCAGCATCATCTTTTAAAAGCTATTTTGCCAAAACAAACCCTCCACACATTATAAATGTGCTAGGGCTTTTAACCAGTTTATGAAATCTATCCTACCTGCGAAAACTGCACACTCAGGTACTTGCAGGCCTACCCCCCATTGCTGACGTCTGTTGGAAGAGTCGAGTGAGTGGTGAAAGGGCCCTGCTCTCTGCCTGGCCTGTAGTCATGTCAGTCCGTTAGACTCCTTGCACTTACAGAACGTTACCTTGCAGCTGTAGGAACTAGTCTTGATTTCAATACGGCCTTATTCCCCATGTATTTCAGTCTGCATTCCTTGAGGGCAGAGGATGTTCCCTATGTATTTTTGTATTCCCAAAGTAACACAGAACTTGGTCAATGATGATACTTTAGTTTTTTAGTTTTTGTTTGTTTTGGTTTTTAATGAATGACTTTTCCACAATAATTCCAATTTAAACCCTATGTTTGTCCACTGGCCCCGATTTTGGCTACAGAATACATAGTCACTGCACTTAACACTAGTTAAGAATACAGGCTTCATTATTGTTACACTTATTATGCCTCTCCAGAGTAAAATGTCATCTTTCTCCATCATTTTCACTCTTGTCCCTCTCTGTTCTTCTGGGACTCTGTTCTTCTAGCACAGTATCCTAACATAAGAACGCTCAGGTTTTCTTTAGCTATAGAAATCCAGGAAACTGCCAAGATAGACAAGTTGTAAGGCATTAGCTTTTTTCCTTTCAAAGCTAGTTTTAAGGTAGATTTTTAAAAATAATTATTTACTTTTATTTGTTATTATTTTTTAATTGGCCAGAGAGAGAGGAAAGTGAGAAAGCAAGCCACCAGGTCTGGGACTTGAGCCATGGTTGGTTGTCCATGTGAGAGTCCAGTACCCTAACTACCACTACCACACTACCTCCTGGCCCCTTAAGATGTAGACATTAATTTCGGTTTTGTTTTTGAAACAAGACTAGCTAGCGCCCCCGCCCCCCAGTTAACATAATGTCATTTTGCCTGTGAAATGAAGTAGTTTGGTAGTTGAAGCTCTTGGAAAGATGAGGCAAGCCCAGTGGTCCTGCGATCTCTGTGGGCGAGATAATCAGAATATCACTCCCCCGTACCCATACCCAGAGACATAGTGAGCCTCTTTCAGCCTGAAAATTTGAAAATGAATACATTTTAAATTATGTTGAACTTGCTGTTCTTCACATTCAAAAAATGAGGGCCCAAAACATATGAATGTACTTGTGGTTTTTTTCCCTCCTGTATCAGCCCTCTGTAGGTCCCAAAGCCATGGGCCTTCTACTCTCAGCAGTTGAGTCAATCTGGAAGAAAATGTCTTTTGGAACCATTGGGCTTCATTTTGAAATTCTCTTTTAGCTCTGTCTAGAGAAAAGAGCACTAATCATTTCAAGGACCGTTTCTAAGTTCACCTTGCTTTTTAAAAAAATCTGATGGTTTATCAGTAAGGTGTGTTTCTTTGGTGTTGTCTTGTTTGTTTTTTTCAAAGCAGAGAAATGTTTTAAATGAAAAATAAATGAAACGTGAATGAAACTCATAAGTTTATTATTAGGGTCTTTGACCTCACTGTTCATAAAGTGTACATTTAATAATGCAAAGTATAAGCAGAATTAAAACATGTAATGAGTTTTATGATTTTTATTCACACATATTTTCTAGCTTCTAAAGTCACACAGGGATCAGCAGTTGGTGTAATGGCTATGTCTCTGGACTCCCACATAGTCGACCGCGGTTCAAATCCCAGACCCAATGGCTTAACTCATGCCGGGTGCGTGTGTGTGCGTGCCCAAGATCCTGAGAGGAGAATGGAGAAGGGATTGCGGCATGGCTGTCCCCCCTGGGGGGTGATTTCTTGCTTTCTGCCTCTCTGTCTGTCTTTCTGGCAAGCGCACATACCGTATAGCAAAACTCCCCCTCCAAAAAAAAAAAAAGTAAAAAAAGTCGCATGTGTGTGATTTATTTGTTTGTGTTTGCTGAGGTGTACAACATTGTGCTTGGCCGGGAAGACCTGGCTCCTAGTTCAAGCTTAGCTCTGCTGGGCCTGAGCTTCCCTGGGTTAGGAGCCTTCCCTAGGTTCCCATGATGTCCTTGCCTGTGTCGCCTCTTGATTGAGCGCAATGGTTTCTCCTGTTAAACTGACCTACCTCCATTGGGGCAGGGATGGTGTGGTGTGCATTTGTTCCCAGACTGTCACACTGCCCATGTCAACATTCATGTGCATCCTGCCATAGGAGATCTTTCCCAAACCCTGCGAGCTGTAAGGAATAAGGTTTAGCCCACCTTGTGCAATATGGTTGGAGGAGCTGAACCTTCGGGTGGTGCAGGTCAGGGACAGGTGAGGTGAAGCCTGAGTTGTAGAACACTTCCTGAGTGTTTGTCTGATTTTATAGAAGTAGACAAAGGTTAGAAGAGGTTAAGAG